TGGCCTTGAACTGAGAACCTCCAAATCTCAACCTCCTAAATAGCTAAAACAACAGACACAAGCCACCAGTGTCAGGCTCCTAGGCTTTCTATTTCTTGATAGTCTTCTGAGTAGTTTAAAATTCATTATAAAAGGAAACAAGACTTAATGAACTATAAAAACAATAATGACTACACTAGTTTTGGTAGAGGCTTTATGGGAAAAGTACAGAGATAAGATTACCCAAATTCATTTTTGTGTCTGGGAAATGCACTTAACCTAGATCTGCCCTGGGGGAGAAGAGACAGAAAGGAATTCAATGTCAGCTGTAGCGGAATGTCCTGTTGCCTCTAAGTGACCCCTGTGTTTGTACAAATCAGCAACTCTCCCCTCCAAGCTGGCATTCCCCAAAGCGTACATTCTCCTGCCTCTCCTGAACTGAATAAAGGAAAATCTAACATTATGTAATTGCCTGTTTCCCAAAATTTAAAGTTAGGCATACTACAATCCTAATTAGAGGGAGAATTTAGTGCAACATGACAAGTAACAAATTAGAAATCTACAAACTAGAAATTCTCATCCAAGACCTCCAGAGGCAAAGAAAAACTTAGCCTTACTTTTTCACAGCATAACAACCAAAGCACTACTACTTATAAAGCTCTTGCTACAGCCCTTTATATTCCTCTATGTCATTTTAGTGTCATCTCTCTAGACCTTTAAGAAAATACTTCCACCTCAGGTTATTCTACTAAGGTCATAGTAAAAGGAGAAAATAGATGAAGACAAACAAAGCTCTCCTTACTCTCAAAAGATCTACCCAAGCTAAGAAGAGTCTGTAGCTCATGCATATAATCTGAGGAGGCTAAGATCTGAGTTCAAAGCCAACCAAGGCAGTAAGTCTATAAAACTCTTATCTCCAATTAACCACCCAAAAAAAGCCAGAAGTAGAGCTGGGTCCAACTGGTAGAGTGCTAGCCTTGAGCAAAAATAAAAAATAAAAAACCTCAGGGACAGCACCCACGCCCTGAGTTCAAGCCCCAGGACTACTACTATTACTACTACTACTACACACACACACATACACACACACACACCACAGAGAAAAAAAAATCTACCCAGAGCTTTTTCTTGCTCTCCTGAATGTATAATCAAATTACTACACTCTTCTGTCTCTCACTCAAATTACTTGTGTTGAAGACATCAGAAGATCCAAGATAATCCTCATGTTTCTATCATTCACTCTAGAACCAAAAGAATGTGATATCTAATAATAATTTATCTTACTTTTAAGGCAAAAAGTGCCATAAGTACATGGGGTTTGTTTTTAATTATGCATAGAAAACCAACTAAAACTGCAATGACACCAATTTATTTCCAGTCCCCAAAATATCAGAAGTACAGAGGACAGAAAGTTGGATTTCAATCTCAACCATATGACATAGACCCCTCAGTGAACCCTGTAAGAATACAGTAATGCATGCCTGTAATCCCAGCTACTCAGGACATTAAGACTTAAGGATTGTGGCTCAAAGCCACCCCAGGCAGAAAAGTCTTTGAGACTTTAGTTTCCAAATAAGCACCAAAAAGGCCAGAACTAGAGATAATGGTCAAGTTGATCACTACCTTCAGCACAAAAAGATCAAGAACAATGCCCAGGTCCTGAGTTCAAGCCCCAGGACCCTCCCCCCCAAAAAAAAAAAATCACCACTGTAAGAATCTGTCCAGAAAATGGTAGGTATCTGAACATTACCTTTTTCTGAAGGTAAATACTGGGCTATGTTATTCCAAACTTTTTAAATAAATTGAAAGTCAGACATAATTGCCTGCTATGAAAAACTTTTCAGGAGATATCAGGGTATCATCACAGGAAACAGAAAAGGTTACTACAAATGGCCCCAGTGCCCCAACAGTACCACAGTCAAAGAACACAAGTGCTTTCCACCAGAATCACAGAAGTCAGCAGCACATCTCCCATGCAGTAGGACCCAATAAATTCTGCTTGACTCACCACAAATCTCAAAAGGATAGAATAAGTACTGTTATAGGAAAGGTTAAAATACGCGTGCGTGCGCGCACACGCACACACACACACACACACACACACACACTTTTGTCTTTTATTAAGATTCAATTTCTGTGATTTGAGCCAAATCCATCAGAGCTCTAGCTCTTTATTGTGGAAGTGAGCCTGCTCATCTTCCTTGGTGAAAGTCCAGTTTGGTCAATGATCCAAAAGAATCAAATATGAGTTGTCACCTGAAAACCTTAAGGATTTTCATAATTCATTTGTACACTGGCTAGGCCAACACAAATGATCATAGAAAGTTGGCAAGAAGCACATAATGATGTTATCATTCATCAATACTAACTTTCCACTGAAGTGGAAAGAGTCTGAGAAGCTTTACCCTTATAGCAATTCAGTTCTCCTCACGCTACACAGTTGCATTACATTACAGTACATTTTTTAAATTCAAAATGCAACTTAAAAGTACACATCGAATCTCTACCAGTACTTTGTATTATCTCATCAAGCAAGCTTTTGTTTCATCCTGGTAAAGGAAGCTTAATTACAGCTTTCAAAAAATGCAAAAGGGGGGCTGGGAAGGTGGCTCAGTGGTAGAGAGCTCACCTTGCATGCCTGAGGCCCTGGGTTCGATTCCTCAGCACCACATAAGCAGAAAAAAAAAGCCAGAAGTGGCGCTGTGGCTCAAGTGGTAGTGCTGGCCTTGAGCTAAAGAGCTAAGGGACAGCACCCAGGCTCAGAGTTCAGGCCCCACAACTGGACCCAAAAAAAAAAAAAAATGCAAAAGGGGAATGAAGGTGAAAGTCATTAAATCAAGATTATATAGAATCTTGTACAGACTATATAGAAACTGTGTACAGATTTCCCAGTTTATAGAACTGCTAGTCTCAAACAATCCCCAATCTACAACCTTCAGTGAAACTGTAGATTTTTTTAGCTATTAAAAAAAAGATGAGATTATAACTAAAATTGCACACATAATCCCAAGCCAAGTATAAATAAATACAAAAGCCAGAGAATACCATGGAAAATAGCAGTCAGAAGAGTTAAGTGGATTTCAATATGTAATTTCAGTGAAGTACTTTCAAACTACTAGCAAGAGTTCAAGCCAAACCTGCCATAGAATTTTGAAATGAAATCACTACCTGACACTTGAAATCTAAAAAGTAAGAATGCTCTGATTTTAAACTCAAGGAGCAGGACCAGGAACTGCAGAGAAGCTAACAACAGCTACACCTACTGACTGTCTCCAGCCACTGGCTAAACTTGTTCTCTAAGTCAACTGAGGAAATATTGTGACAGTCAATTTCATGAGTCCTTTAATGAGACAAGTAAGTCATCAGCAACACAAAAGCATTCATCCCTTCCCCAAAAAAGTCTTAATTTTCCCCTAAGCTCTTATGTGCAAACTATTACCCAAGTCATTTTAAATGCAGTTAATCACTGCCTTAGAATAATGTATATTCCACAAAAATGCCTTAGTAACAATATATAGTTAATAACTAGGATGCCATCTTAGTTGGACACATCAGTGACTGTAACCTGCTTTAACTTAAACCTTTTAACTGAGACTTACTGCTATTACCAGTACTTTGTATTATCTCATCAAGCAAGCTTTTGTTTCATCCTGGTAAAAAAAGCTTAATTACAGCTTTCAAAAAATGCAAAAGGGAAATGAAGGTGAAAGTCATTAAATCAAGATTATATAGAATCTTGTGCAGACTATACAGAAACTGTGTACAGAAGCCGTTTGGGAGGATTTAATCTTGTACTTTTCAAAAAAAAAAAAAAACCTGCCAGAAAAATCTTCACCGTGGAAGATATTCTTTCTATATACGAGCAAACAGGAGAAAGTTGACACTTAACTCCCACAGAGTACCAGTATAAAAACAATGGCTTTAAGATTGAGTCAGAGTTTCAACATGAAAGGCTTGCTTTATAGAGGAAACAGCCACCCCGGTTCATCCAGATAGACCTGGAAACGGATGAAAGTAGACACCTTTCACTCTGAAATTTGCAGTGCATCACTGGCTCCAATTTAGAAATATAATCGTATCCTAAGTAGTCTGAATTTCAGTGAGTGCTGCCTCTACCCGTCATAAAAAACTAAAATCTATACGGTAAGTGCAATCCAGGAACCATCCATGCCCAAAAGCTTCCCTTCAAAGACAAACGACCACAATTCAGTCGGTTCGGTTAGACATCATCTTCCTTCCAAGTGGGCTGCTTCCCTTGTCTATCTTCCAAACCGTGAGCCCCGATGAAATTTCAACCTACCCAATGCAGTAACTTGTCCAGGAAGATGTGCCGGGGAGCGATTTAAGAACCTTGAAAACTGCCTTTAAGGTCAGAAGAGAAGTTGGAAACGGGGCGAAGGAAGAAAAGTTCTTTACGCAGCCCCTCTCTGCACTGACTTCCTCCAAGGCAAGCACGCACGTTAAAGCATCCCCGGATTTCACCCCCCCTCCAGAGCCCCAAGAGGGAAATGAACCACCACGGGCCCCGAGCTGAATCTCTTTCATGATCCCACAGTTAACCCACTTGGCCTACCCCCCCACACACACACACACACAACCTGCAGCCAGCTCACCCGGGCGACTGAATGGGGAAGGGTCGCTCCGCGGGGAGGAGAGCCTCAGGACCGTCCGCCCGCCCGCCCGCCCGGCCGGGGGGGGGTGGAGGGGAGGACGCGGGTCTCCCGGCCTCCCGAGGCGCCCGCCCGCCGCGTACTTGTGCAGATTCGGATTCCGAGGTGCGTGCGCGCGCGCCCCGGTCGCGGTGCGGCCGAGACTCGTCCCCGCCGGGCTGCGCTGCCGCCACCACATCGGAAATCAAACTTTCAACGCCCTCCGGGTGCCCGGCTCGGAGCCCCCCTCCCCCGGACTCGAACCCCTGCCAGAGACAGGAGTCAGGGCCCGGGGCTATCGGCAGTCCTGCACCCCCACACTCCCTGCCCCGACCCTGGGAGGGCGCGGGGGGAGGGGAGAAGCCCACTTACCGCTGGGCCCGGCCTCCCGGGGGCCGCCGCGTCCGGAGCGCGTCCCGGGGTGCTGTCCCTGGGGGAGAGAAACCGTGCGGACGGTCGGGGCCGGGGTACCGACGGCCGGGGTCTGGGTCGGGGAGCTGACCGTCCCGTCGCGCTCGCCGCCCCGACTGCCGAGCCGAGTCTGAGGAAGCGGAGGCGGAATCAGCCCGGCTCCGCGGGGGGCCCG